TTGTATGTAGTTGCCTAGGATAGAGGGCCATGTAAGTTGGCCACGGATGCATGGTATTTGAATACTTGCTGTGCCAGTTGCATTTCATATAATCTTGTCCTTTAGAGCTACTTCCAACTTATCATGAACGACGTTTCAGGAGCTGATACTACTTGTACGCTACCGCATAGGCATCAGCATATCTCTTCTACCGTTTTATGTTATGGCGCGTAACTCCTCCAAGATCAGTTTTGTCTGTTTGATATATTAGTTCAACCCCTGTGTTCACTCTCACATTTGTTTACCAACTCGCGCTTTTTTGTTATTTGTTTATCGTCATCATTTTTAGCATCCCTGTAAACCTGTAGTATGCATAAGACTTGTGATTTCCTTAATGTATTGTGTCAGAATCTTGATGTATTTTAAGCTGTATTACCGACGGTAGCTCAGAAAGCAACAGCGACCAAATTAAGGGATTCTGTGCCAAAGTAAAATATAGCGAAAAATATTTTTCAGCTCTTAAGTCCTGTCAAAAAGTCTGAAAAGGTTGGCTAACTAGAAACGGCAGACAGTGGTTTTCAGAACTTGCTTACAGTATAACGCCAAATCTGAACATTCTTACTGTGTAATACAGAACACTTTGGCAAGCCATGAACTACTACTTTGAAGCTCTGAAGTTGCTCGTCGTCGCAAACTCAAAGTGCCTTCGTTCGAACTCACAACACTGATTAAACTGACATTGGTTTCCGAACAGGACGATATAGTTGGTCCTCAATCCTTCTTAATCCTACTGCAAAATATTCATTTTAGTTCTTATTAAATTCTTTTGAAGAGATCACATTAGAACGTTTGTTAAACAGAAAATCCGCCAGTCTGCTAGCTGATATTTTTACACGATAAGACATTGCCACGGTTTCCCATGTCTGCTGCGCACGTCTTCTGTAGGTTCTGCGTGTTTTCTGCATATCTGAGCTGCCGCGTGCACCTAATGCCCGATCGGTTTTTTAAAAATTTTAAAGTTGCACGGTGATCAGTCATAATCGGTATTTACTGAATTTTGTCACTACATTTTTATATTTGTAAATGCTGTCCAAGTATCTGACTTTACGTCAGACCTTTGAGAGGGCAAATCACTGATGGAAGTATGGATCAATGAATGGTTCAAGGAAGTGCAAAAGGTATGGTTTAAATTATGGGATTTCTTACAATGGCTAAGTTAGGCGATGTGCATTTTCTTTGGCGGGCAGAACTTATCTTTTCATTTCTGAAAAGGCTAGATGACGAGGCAACGACAGTCATGAATTTAAATAACTTCATGCATTTCAGGCAAATCTGTTGCCAAGGAGAAAATTACTGACCGATGTTTGGTAGGTGTTAATCCCCTCAGGAAAGCATGGTTCAATCTTTTCATCATATCATCTACCCTATTAAAGATTTGTGACCAGCTGGAGATTTGGAAGGAAAAGAAGGAACGTTTCTAGCCGTTGGGATGTCGGTATCCCTTAACACTTTATGGCTGCTGGCCATTCTTGAGTCCTTCGTTTCATTTATGATGTAGCGCTGATCTTTGTTTGTATGCCATCAACCTGAAGTGAATTTTTTATAACCAATATTTACAGCTATGTGATAAGCATTATGTGTAGTTTCTTGTTTCCTTCCAACAGAGGATACCCCATTTATGAACGTTGGGAGAAAGAAAGTCGATTGACCCGACCGGGCCTGTAACCGCGAGCTCTCGGTTCTGAGTCCGATTCTACTGACTGAGTAATCCCGGTCATGAACTAGAGATTTGAAAGATCCGGCTGATGATGATCTAAATTCGGAGAGACAAAAAATAGCATCTTCATTCGTGGAGATATACGATGTCGAGAAGTTCAGAGATATGCCTCAGCTGTTGTCCGTCTGAATGAAGAATGACATCTGTCATTGTCATTATTATTACAGTCCATCAGTTGACGGTTTATTAGTCTATGTGATGTTGTTACATTCAATGAGCAAAATCAGCCACTTTGAAGTACAATAAAAGGAACGTATAAATCGAAGCAATGCTTAAGGCAGAGGAGTAAAATGATTTACGTTCGGCTATTTTTGCCACTGAAACTCTCTATGACTTAGGAAAGATTCGAATGACATGACTAATCATCGGGAAAATTCATTTCTGGTTGTAATTGCGTTGCGTCTGCTCCTGGTTCCCGGACTCAGGTATGATTTATTCATGAACTTAATATGTACGCGAGTTGCTAGTCGTACAGCAACGATCACCCCAGCAGAACGATGGCCCAAATGACGTTTCTTACAAATTCGGCCTGTAGTTAATATCGGTCAAGTTTACGGATGTGTGATATCAGCAGAATGTCACGTTTCAAGACGATGCTATGCTTTTTCTCAAGATTAGCAGAGGTGTTTGAGCTGGCGATAGGATATTACTGAAAGTAACAACCTCTCACAGACTGACGAATCATTACTTGATTGACCAATCTGCAGCTTCATTAATCTCAGCGGGTCGAAGATCCCGATCCCTTCCTCATTTGTATGAGAAATCTAATGGCACGATTGGTTCAAGTTGAATTTGTTGTTCACTAGGATTGTCAGACACCGTGCGTGCTAGCGTATGAAAGTTGCTCATTCTCTGTTGTGTTTGGGCTTTCAGTCGAGAAATATATCCGTGTATTATTCATAGTCATGGTTAAACTTAGGCAGTCTTCATGCAGTTAATAATCGTGCCATGGTGGCTAACTCAGCTTTTCATTTCATTCAGCATTTTGAAGATAAGATGTACCAGATTCACATCGACTGGCAGAAAGAGATTCTAATGTAGGTATATCAGGGCAAACGGTGTACCAGTCATGATGTAGTGCGTGATTTACTGGGATAGTTTTCAGCCAGTATCTCATCGACTTTTTTAACTGAAGCCCTTTCCAGTTCAAGAATTAATTCCCATGTGGTCGATAGCGTGCTGTGACAAACAGACTGAACGATGAGAAGTTGTCAACGTACAAGACGTAGACCGAAATTTCCGTTACAATTTTGTCAGTATGACAAATTTATTCTGATACATTTTTGTTACAAAACCATTTGTTTGTTGATTATTTGTTGATAAACATAATCTCGAACGGTGGTAATTGCGTCTGGCCTTAAACAGGCGGATTGCACTGACTGCTTAAACCTTCGAAAGTCTGCAGACAATCTGCTTTGAAATGGCATATCAGTCAGCACCAATATCCACCTCCATCTTGCTGCAAGCAGGCCGGGTTCGCTGTATACACTAAAAAAACTCATCTTAGAAGAATACATGAGCGTTCGCCGAATGCCTCGAACAACGCTGATTACTATACGCGCTGGTGATAAGCGGATATGAACATATCAGAAGCGACTGAGTTCTTGTGTTAGCTCACCTGGCGGGCGGGCTCACCTGGAAACGGAAGTCTGGCATGAGTTAATGGTGTTTTGAGATCCAGCCAAGCCTCACTGGTACGACTGCTGATGAATCGAGTCAGTGGTCATCAACGATTACCTGACCGATGAAACTAAACAGAACTTTTGCCGATCAATAGCAGTCTTTCCTACGCAGAAGCACTAAACACCCCCTAATGTCAGAGTGAGAAGTGAGCTAATGCCAGAACACCGAAGATAATTATGAGAAAATATATTGTTTACACATGACAGAGCAGCGAAATTGCATGTAGGCCGAATTAGTGATAATAGAACGTGAAATCCTTAATACCGAGGGTTCTTTACTGAGGGATAAATCGACCGAGATACTTTTCTTTTTGCTCTTTTGCCAGCCTCTGGTTTTATTTCAGACTGTCAGCACTTACAGACTGTTTATTTGTCTGTTTCGTGCTGAAATCTAATGGGTCTGATTTGATTTTTTCGGTTATCTCATCGTGCTGGTGGCGTTTTGCGCTAGCTGAATCTGACTAAGCTGGTCAAAACTTGTAGTCTTGTATAAGTGGCCAGCAGTGTGACCAGATCTTCTAATTAAATACTTGCTAATACTTTAGTGTTGTTAATTGTACTCTCTTTAGAAGAATGCAGCGTGACGTTTATTCCTCAGGTTCTGACTATAGAACTGGACGGCGAAGCAGAGTTTGGAATCAAACCTTGGTAGGATTTACGATCATCGTCATGCGCGTGATGCAAATGATCTAATCTTCATTTTACAGTCGGGCATCTCTCCGTGAAAGGCGCGTGCAACTGGTGTTCGAGAACGAGAAGGTTGTCAAGCTGCTGAACTCCACTTCATTGTTTATCGCCCCCAACTCTACCGAAGACATCCTGCTAAAAGTGAAGGCTGTCGGCGTACAGTCTGACTTTTTCATTGAAGCGAACACGTCGTTCCCGTCCGGAGCTGAGGAAAACGAGATCGAGTATGAACTACATTGAAAGTCCAAAGTTTTATTACATCCCTATCGCTTCTAGAGGCTTGGATACTTCGTAAGCCATTTAAGTAGACCACGGTTCGTTGTTTTCTTAGCACTTATTGTACATAGAGGCATCTCATATCGTTTATTTACCAGAGCAATGCACCGGTTCTCTTACCATTGACGTTTCGAGAGCCGGTGCTTCTTATACTGGCCTTAGCAATAGCATATAAAATATACTTTTGTTTCCGCAGCAGCTTCAAAATGACTACAAACTTCGGGATTATGCTAATGAGCATGACTGCGTCGTCTTTACGATGTTATAGTGTCTCTCTCATAAGAGATTCAGTTCACCGTTTAAGCAAATCACGGCTCTTTTGTACTGTACCAGTCGCTGTATATCATCGACGCATCTCTGTCATTTTAGCTGGCTAGAGCAGTAAATTGCTCGTTGCTAACATAGTTTCACGATCAGAACTCTTTTTACTGACGCATGCGGTAACATCAAAAACATATCTCGGTTTCACAGCGGTGTCGGAAATATGAATTTGGATGCCAGGAATATGTAATAAGCATAACTTCCATGTTTTACTACAGTGCATAGCGGAGCTGAAATGACCATTTCCTCTTTTTTCAGCGAGGGAGGGAGTGGGGGCTTCATTCTTTCAGAGTTCAGCTCGGTTAAAGGTTCCTTTGGTAACGCATCCGTGTATATTCACTAGTACGCAGAATATCTGTAGAGCTGTTAATCTTCTTCTAACTTCTTTGCTGTCTCATAATAACCAATGGATGATTTGTGAAAGATAATCTATAAAGTATTGTAGTTTAGAAAGTATTCTAGAAAGTATAAGTTATTTAGGTCTTCATAATTTTGTAGTGATTACTAACAACACTGTTCTATGGAACGTTTTCATTAGAAACACAGGGCAACTTTTAATAGACCTACTATTATATAACATAATACTAATAATAGTAGCATGCCGCCATGAACAGATTTTAAGCCTCTCTACGGTGAAATAATATGTGAGAACAGCAGCACAAATACTGCAATGTTCAGATTTATTTTGTTTATGAAATGATCATTAATAGTCGTTTGCTTCAACTCACTTCTCGTTTCAATTGAGCACTGCAGATTCAGTCCCCTCAGAATTACTCGTTTTTATCCAAATTACTCAACATTACAGATTTTCTTCCCATTCTTTGGAAATCATAGCATCTGCAGCATATTAAAGACAACGTATATTTTATTTCTTTATGATAATTTCATGACAGGCAAATGCATGAGGCCTTCCAAAATTTTTTGAGGCCTGGCGACAGAAATCGGCTTCGAACTCCAGAAGTGCCGACTTCGAATGCACGGGCGAGACAGTCTTTGTTTTAACCGCGAATTCTCTTGAATAAGGAATGTGCTTTACGTTGCCTCGGTGTAACTAGACGAGAGATGAGTAGCAAGTTATTAGCTTCCAATACAGAAATGGCATGGTATTCTGGTATGATCATACCGGAATCGACGAGATGTGCGGCCATGCTGTCCGAGGCGAGCGCAGTTTGTGACTGCACGTTGCAATGACTCATCTGTTATCCGACTGTCCAGTGTAACCAGAATTTTACTTCAGCAGCTAGTTCAGTTACTGATTCAGGTTGTGGTTCTGTAGATTTTGGGGTACATTGCACATTTTTGAGAGCAGTATCTGCTTTACCAACATCCGTAAAAGTCAATTATTTAGCTCTTTGCCTTCTTACGACTTCATTTTTCTCAGCCTTATTCTTTGCACTAAACCCTACCTTTCTCTTGTACTTAGCTCTAGATATTGTTTCAGTCTTGTTTTATATTGACTGAAATTGCTGCAGAGCTTCGAAGGCATCCCATTGTAAGTTGTAGACTTCACTGCAATGTTAGGTTTTTTTACTGATGAATCAATGATGTTTCATTGCTTTTTTAAACAGAATTAAACTTTTTGATTTACTTTTTAAAATTCTTGTGGGGAAAGTAAGGTTTAATCGAAGGACCATGTTAACGAGCTCCTTGTTCATTATGAATTCAGTTGTACCAGTAAGAAACATTCGTTCTGCATAGGCCAGAAGTGTGTTGTGACCATCAGAATGCATCTTTTTATTATTAAGGCGTTCATTAGAACTCGTTAGTTTTTGCTTTTGGATATTTTTGGTTTCTGTTTTTGTTTCTGCTTTTATGCATTCATTTACGCATTTCTTGTCAGCTCTCTTTGCTGAGGTGGTAGTTGAATAAGAGATGAAATATGGATTGTATTGTAAAATAGATGAATATATTGTAAATATGGAATATCGCAATGGACGGAGTTCGATATGACGTAACTGCAACAGTCATAAAAACATTTCCTTGATGACACCGCGGCATGTATTAGTCCGCGTTCATTTGTTAGCTTTATGAAATTATGCCTGATATAGATATACATGGCTGGTTTGGATAAAAACACAATATTTCGGTCTAGTGTAGTCTTTGACAGATTACAGTATGTATCTGTCATCATTCATGTCCTGCCCCAAGGACTGCATAAAACGTATCATTTCACGAGGAGACGACAAGCAGAGTCTTTTGATTTAGTGGATCTTCACAACATCTGTGAAGGAAATATCCTAAGAATCGGACCAGGGAACTTGAGGATCTGATGAGCCAGCGATATTGTGACTTTGCTCATGGTTTATCTCAAACTACGAGATTAGTCACTGCTGCAGCACGGATGCACACACGTGGGTGTTTTTTGCATATTGCGTCTGCCAATTCGCTACTGGATGATACCAGCGATTCTTTATAGTGTAGTGCAGGCTACTTGCTGAAAGCGTTTTAGCTGGCGCTCCTATCCTTTCAAAAGGTTTACTGTTTCTGGCAATAAGTGTGTACTCTTGCAGGTACTTATCGATACTACTTACATTTCTGTTTTGTTCAGACATGGGAATCGTCATCTAGAATGACTTAGCGCAATAGAAGCACTTCGATCCGCACCGAAGCTTTTTACTAGAGACTGCGAAGAAAGCCTTCCTCAGCTTTTATGATGCCCAGTTCCAAAGCGCAGTTTATTCCAACAGTCTGCTGCGCTACATTTCACATTGCGGAACGGTGACACATTTAATCCGCGGATGTTCAGTCAGTAGAGCATCTGACTCACAGCTGAGCAGTCCAGAGTTCGAACTGCGGTCGCGTCACTCGCTTTTCTTGCTTCTGAGACCAGTAAATGACTATCACTCTGTGGAAGAGAGACTGTCGACTGCACGCTATACTTGTCATTTAGCTAATAGTGACTCTGCCTTTATAAAATAAAACACTCCTAGCTGATGGTATGGAGATCTGCGTCTCAACATTAACTTCATGAAAGAGAGGAGCCAGAATGGCCCCACCATTATAATCTAAGGAAGGCGGACATTCCAGTGGTTACGAACTTTCCTTTCTTTTTTTTTGCGGGATAGTACATTGAGTCCGGTGCTGCCCCATAGTCGAGGTAGACCATGACGATTGAAGTCATCAACGTTGCTCCTTAATTGTACGAAAGTTACAAATATCATGAGAAATGCTGGTGAAATGCGTAGAGTACAGCTCGTGCCTCGGTCATTTGAAATGTTCTGTTCATTGCAGCTCTCGTGCTTTCTGTTCGATTTAATATTGCAAAAAACAAGTTTTCCCAAGGTGCCTTCAGAACACTTAAAAGAAGCTCCAATGGCATTTCGCTACTGCTATTCTCTTTCGAAGTTTACGACGATCGTTTCGTTGCCCAGTATTTTACAGAGGTTGCACAAGCAAGAAGCGACGACTGAATATCAATCGCTGTTTCTTAGTGCAGTGACGGCGAAGCAGGTGACGAAGTCCTGCTGCACCTGATCTACTAGCATTTATGCAATGCTGCTGTCTGACATTTGGCAGTAACAATTAGAGGAAAAGGGGTAAAAGAACTGTAATCTGGTGTAATCTGTTTGCTGTACGTGAAAAATGTATGCCTCCTTCACATTTGTGTCTGTTTTCGATAAAGCTGCCGATGCTACCACGGTGATGGAGATCGTTATCGACTGTAAATACCGACATGTTCTTTTGTCATCGCGAACTTTGTCTTCATACTTATCGAATACTTTAGTTGTTTGCCTGGGCATTTGTATCTTGAGCCGCTTGACGTTGATTTTCTGTAGATGGTGCTGGATTGTTGCAGCCGATCTTATCAACTGCGCGAAATGCCCCTGATGAAAAGCGTAGCTGAGTTTTTTGGTGCTGCATACGCAGAACAGGAAATTGCTTTAATTTACGCATCTATTGCGGTCTAGTCGCTTCCTGAAAATCATCCTGTAAGGCACCATTCCTAGGAAGAAGGACAAGAGGACGTTCAAAGCAGTTCTGGATCAATACAGTAATGAACTATACATGGAAACGGATTCTTTATCGCATCCATTCGACACAAACTGCCAGCTTTGTAAATGGTGTTCCTCGAAGTTGCGAAGTATGTACCTCCACAGCTGGACCGGCAGCGTAAAATGAATTCACAGATGAATTCTTCCCGTTATCACAATCTGTTCTCGATGGTTCGAGCCAGATTCTTGCATCCGGTTTTCATTGATATAAACAGTGGAAAACTGTTGGAGGAATGTAAATGAGACAGATTCTGCCGACATATGTGGTTTGTTTCGTTAGCTGATGCGATACATATTGGTTTTATGCTTTTTCAAGCCTTGTCCTGCTGAAATTTATTGACTTGCAGTTTTCCCACGTCGTCGAGTTAGTCGGTGATCGTAACCCGACAATTTCAACGCTTTCCTAGTACTATTATGATGACCGTAATACCGGTTGCTCAGTTGCATACCTGTAAAACGGACCTTCGTTTTGCTAAGATTGTTTGACTTTTATTTTCCTTGGTTCAAACGTAGTTAACTGAGCGAAGAACATTTTGCTGACATCCATTAGAACGGCGGAACGTTGAAAAAGAAAGTTAATGATGAGCACCATTTAGAGCATATTGTGGGGCGCTGTTCTAGGCCACGGTGCCAGACACGAACGCCTGCTTCTGAAGGTAATGTCTGCGCCTATTGCTGACGTCGATCAGAACGATGAAAAGGTAGAAAGGAAAATTTGTAGCCGTTGGTGTGTTGATCTTTTCAGTTTCGCAGTAGACGACCAGCGCCGACCTCCGTTTCGATTCCATTAGCCAGGAAAATCATATTACTGAGAAACTCTCTCTGGCTTGACGACTGCTTCTTTATAGTCGATTGTTTCCTTTCAGCGTACCACCGATGATGTGTGCCCCGAAGCGGTGAAAGGCGGGTGAGCAGGCCGGGCTTAGAATAATGAACTCTCGATTTTGAGCTTGTCTTTCAACCGCAGGGCGATGGAAGACACGTTTGATTTAGCAAACGTCAAAGTTGATCAAGAAACTTTCATCTGGCCAGTTTGGATAGAAAAAACATTTTTGATGATTGAAATGTCGTCAGCATGTAGTAAAAGTATTGAGTAATATAATGGCCCTCATTTCCCTGCTCATCTCAACCGTTCTACAGCAGTGGGTAGGTATTTGACTCACGAGAAACTGCTAAGAATCCCAGGAGAAAGGCCGCCAGGTGGTAAATGGGCATAAACTTCCCTCGCCGTTTGCATCTAGAATTATTTAGAAACTGGCAAGGAAAGAAAACGTTAAATCAGATAATGGAGGGAAGGTCAAGTGTGGCCTGCGACATCCCTGGCCTCTGCGAAACACGATGGTGGAAGGAGATGAATGACATCTGGAAGGACAATCGATTGATTTGGCTAGTAAGATAAGAGGACGCAAAGAACATAGGAGGATTAGGATTTGTAATCTGCAAAAGCTGGTGATCCCAAAGACTAGACGTACTGTGCCTCTGAATGAACAAGAAGAGGACTTTAAAATCGTCCAATATGCGCTCCCACAAATGCAGCTGATGAGTAGGAAGTGAAAGATTTCTATCAAGGAATGGAGCGGGCATTGTTTCCAAAGTTCATGTGTATCCTCGTCATAGGAAACTTCAGTGCCAAAGTCGGACGTGAAAAATTCATAGGTAGGTGTGGCACTAGTGAACGAAATGAGCGAGGGGATCAGCCGGTGACCACAGCCGAAACGAAACATCTGTACATTGGCAACATTTTATTCAATAGAAAAACGAATAGGAGATGAACATAGCTCGCATCCAGCGCGGGGATGAAGAACGAGATCGACTTGGCTAGCCTTCGAAGAGGCGATGGAGAGAAAGGCACTTTGCATGGCAAATCGCAGAATGCATTCAAGGGTATTCGATAAGGCGGTGCTCCCAGCACGCGTTTCCTGCGAAGGCTTGAAGTTGAAAGGCAGCTTCGACGATGAATACGAGAAGTTCGCTGAGAAATTTAGGCCCTGCATAAAGTCAGCTGAAGTGGTAGCATCACAAAGGGCGAAAGGAGGGATCTCAGAAGAAACTGGGTTTGCTAAAGAAGCGGAAGATGATGAGGTATGGGACTGGTACAGTGAAGTAATCTCATCTGTACGAGCTCATTGGACCGGAGCTGAAGGAGGTTTCAAAGGCATTCCATTTGCGAAGATTGGAAAAAGCGTTTGAAGACCGCAGAAGCTTCAAACAGTTCAGAAGAGAGCTAGCGCTTTATCTTTCGACGGGGTGGTTAGATCGAAGAAATCGATAAATCATGCAGCATGATGAGGCTGGAGAGATTCAGCGAAGAAGGAGAGCCATTTGGCGCTCGTTCCATTCCATCAAGGACGTCCTCTTCGGCAACATCATAAAAGAAACCCACCCCGCCTCTTCTATCCTGCCGGCAGTGTTCTGTGGTTATGAGACGTGGTCCTCAATAATGTGGACGGGTTTCAGCTATTGCCACCAAGACAGACGTGGAAAGAATAATGTTGGGAATTTCACGTCGCAGGCGTGTCTCTAATACGGTGATCAGACAGCGAACGGGAGTGAAGGACGTTTCTGTCGAAAGTAGAAGGAAGAAGCTACAGTGTGTCAGGTTTTGTTCACCAGCGGTAGATGGTCAGCGATGATCGTCACCGATTTCCGGCCAATTGAAGTGATCAAGTCAAAATGGGAACAAGAATGAGTGTTCATGGCCATTACGAGTTTATTTGTAATTATTCAATGACAGTACTTTGACTTTTGAATGTCAAAACGAACAAAGGAGTGATAAAATTTTTTCAATTAAGAATATTCACTAGACTTTACAGGACCACAGTGTCGTCACGACTCTAACAAACGGTGTATCGTTGGGTGATTTATTTCGGCTTGCCCATCTCCAAGGCTGTTAACTGCTAAGACACTTTATTGTATTTGCCATTTTTTATAATTTTGGTCGTTCAGAGGGTTCGTTTGATGGCCATGATAGGTCTTTTGATCTTCAGCTACACCATCCAATGACGCCGATTTGCTTCAGTTTAATTTGTAAAACAACTCTGTGGCAAGAACTACCCTCCAAGTCATTTTTTGCCGGATCAGAATTAGAAATAAGCCTTATCAGAGAACGTGGCAGTGGCGCAGTTAGTAAGTTACGTTGCTCATTAGAGTGCGGATTCAAACTCAACCTGCAGCATAATTTCGTTTATCAACTGCTAATTATCCCAAGCAGGGAATTCATTTCTCTTGCTTCGATTCAACCAGCCAAATGGTGTAGAAGTAAATTAAATTAAAAAACACTAGAATGGCACTAGACTTCTACCTTACGGTACGGAAACACGGAAACCAAGACCCGCAGAAATATGGGGCATCAATTCGCCCGAACTAGCTGGGGAGCGTACGCCAGCACTGTGCCCCAAACTAAGTGCTGCCTAATCCGCAATAGTTCTTTGTGTCCTTCTGACTGTAAGGTTGTATATATCAGTGACAGATTTGGTATCATCCGCTATAAGGGCAATGCCGTAGTTGACTTCCACATTTGGCTGATCGTCCTCTTGAGCACCCGTCGACTGAAATCCGACGGGGAGAAAGTTGCCTACGGGAGTACCGAAGATTCAAGACGAATCACCGAGTCCAGGAGCACCCGCGGCATTCTTTCTCACTCAGACAGGTCGTTCTGCCAAACCACTCGCTACCTAGTGGTACTATCTTTCACGTTGGCAATTCCCAGATAAGAACCTTGCAGAATTGTGCCATGTTAAATGAACTTTATTGTCATTATCCGATCCAGGACAGCCGCTAACACGTGGACCGAAAAGGATTTTTACTTATTTACCGTTTATACTTTATGCTTATTTTTTTAATCAAATATCAGGTGGTTCAAGCCGAACTACAGCCATCGGGTGCAGCATGTTCTGTCAGAGAGCATGACTGCATGTTTCACTCTATCTGACACGACAACATAGGAATAATGCGCTGTTCCTGTTTTTCGCAAGTCAGCGAGTTAATACCCATTTCTCGGCTGATAGCGCCGAAACACGGGTATGAAATCTGTGCTTAAGGGAATTAACACATCAGAAGAGAAATACGTAGTGCTGCAACGTGATTCATGCCAGAAGCGGACAATTCCTGCGCGAGTAGAGGTGCTAAAACAATTGTATATGCGTCCGTTCCAGAATACTGGCATCTGAGCAGCCAGTTTAAAGCATTCAAAGTTGTCAAAGTAATGACAGCGTGCTTGCACCGCACGCCGGCCTTGTAGCTTGATTATCACACTTAGAACTCAACATTTTTTGTTGTAGCCATGTGCAAGAAGAAAACAACAAGAATCAGAATAGAAAGAAAAAATGATTATCCAACTCTCCATCAGTGTATCTTCTGTCACTGCTACCTTTGACTGTCCTATGTCGATTGGCCCAGCGAACTAAACAGGAACGCCATCATATGGAGAATGCCGAATTCAGCTGTTTATCTACTGCATCATAATACAAGAGGTTTATCAGAACGATAAGCTTCCAAAGAGGCAATTCTCCTAGCTGTTCAGTACATTCGGACGAACCTGTAGGTACATCTGCATGCAAACCTCAAAATCTTACTTTTTTCAGCCTCTTTTTATGGATATTCATTAGCCAGGGAGCAGTCCCTTTAGGACATGAGTTTTAAGTGAACGAATTTCGAATTTTCGGTCTGTTGTCTAAGACGCTGGTCGCTGCGTCACTTTCTCGCACATTTTTTTCTCGCGATTCACCAGCGTACACGTCGACGCGTAAGCCATGTCTGTTGCTTTAAGTTTTTGTTCTGTCAAAGTCACGGGTACTTCGACGCTTTCTGTACAACATGCCACGTTGTTTTTTCGAGATACGGCATGTGCTGTTGTCCATGCTGTACATCGTGCTATTTTTCATGAAATATTCGTTCCTAAATAAACGCCAAACTTGTTTGGGGAAATTTTATCGCTCCGAGGCTGTACTGCTTTTAAGTATAAGGATATATGGTAGTTTTTAAGGTCACAGGCTGTACTTAGTCAGTTCTGTTTAAAAGAATAGCATCATCTATATTTTGTTCGCTGTTTCTAATGCCATGACGAAGGCTCGATATGTCTGCTCGAAAATGATACGTACTCTGCGTGGATCGGATGTGCCTTGTCACCAGCAAGCTACTTGACCGCAGAGTAGCTGAAAGCTTGTCTTCTGGTCCCAAACGTTCGACTGTTGCAGACAAAAATGTTCCGTAGCCGACCAACCTCTCCATCTTGAGACACCGGCCGAATTATCGGTACTGGTCAATCATCCGATTGGTCAGATTGTTTGTGCTCTGTATAAATAAACCGTGTTTTGAAGTTTTCAGTATGACCGCAAACACACGAACTAAATATTGAAGTCACATGGTCATTGTTATTACGGACAGAATTCTGTATTCGTTTATTTTCTGATTCCATTATTCTTTCTGAGTCGTTGAGGCAGCAGCTTCAAAAGTTTATTTTACTGCTACTCTTTCGCCAGTCTGACAAGTTCAGCGGGCGGAGTTTAAGGTGCAGTGCCTGCAAGATTTTCGCTGTATTTGCGCAATGGTCTTAGGTCTTCCATGTAGCTGCGCGAAGAGAGTCCGTCTTTTAACTGTATCCTCTGATGTCTTGATCGCACCTGTGAATCGATATATTAGAAATGATTTACAGGCAAGCGTATCTCAGACTGCCATGTAATAATGTTTGAGGTTCATCTCTTACCGAGGCGTCGTCATGTCGTTAATCCTTTGAAGGAATCTCGTTTACGACGTTTATATATTTGATCATGCTTTTTCAGTCGATATCCAGCAGTTTTGACGAAAGGTAAAGGGTGGTACAAATCTTAAGAAATAAGCTTCGTTTATTCCTCAGCTCTTTCTTTAGCATCACATATCGTTTTAACTTCCGCGTCACTGCGCTCGTTTGATTGAGTTTCAATTTTCACCTCCTCCCTACCAATTTGTGTATTGTGTCCCAAGACACTTTAGCTTCTACACTCGTATCATTGCACTCCCTAAGCTGAAAAGCACACTGAATGACCTTTCTCGAGAGTACGACAGTTTTAGTTTCGGTCGGGCTTGTCTTCATCTTGATCTTATCGCATGTAGCAGCGAAGCGATCAAGTACATGATGGAAATTAACATACGAGGAAGCGAACATGACGAGATCTTCCTCGATAAGTGGGTAACCCAGTCGAATATCGCCACTTTTAATTTTTCCGTAAGTAGAGTTCATCTGCTGTTCTTCCCTCTCTTAAAGATCCTAATGCTCATGTTACACACTTCTTAAACGATGTTACTGAGCTGTCAGTTTTATGATTTGCATTAAACTTTCAAGGTATATTTTATCGGGTCCGACAGTGAGCTAATTCACATTGAAGAATTTGTGAGTGAAGCCACTGAAGACGCCGAGAAACTGCCACACGATTTTCATGTTTAGAAAATCTGATTTCTCTTGCAGTTTAGTAATGAACAGATTTCGGCTGCAGTTATACTTAATTGTGCCAGAAAAAGATCATCGAGTCATCATATATTTCAAAGCTATAATCTTTTTGTTTCTAAAGTTCAATGACGATTTCACCCAGTCGCTTGACGAGCTGCTGCGCGTACTTTTCTCATGCAAAGAAAACAGATTAACACTGTTCAGTGTTAATCTGTTCAAGAAAGGCATGAATTTGCAGCTGTTTAAGAGTCACGATTTTTGGAAGCTTACGGTTGAAATGACGAAGTAAAGAAATAAAGTATTAGAGTTCATATCATTCAGCATGAATTCTGTTTACGTGGAAGACAGTGGAGAAGAGGAACGAGTTCTTTGTTGCGTTCAAAATTTGTTTTATGAACAATTTTAATGTTATATTTTAATCGTCAATTGCAGCATCGGCCCCATCAGCCATAAAATGACGGGTTGCATAAATCGAGGACTACTGTTTGTGCATGCACGTTTTTAATAACTTCGAATGCATCTTTTTCTGTGATAATCATAAACTCGGTGTTTGCCGTTCATTAGAATAATTTGTGTTTCGTGGTTTAGGACCAGAAACCCATTTATTCTCATCACCGTCGTTCATTCTCGAAGCCTTGAAATCGTCATCCAGGCTTGTGGCTGGATTTACTTTATAGCATGGTCCGTATCATTTTATCCGCAAATATTCTTGAATTGGTACCGCAGAAGGTGCATTTTGGTCGTTGTTTTGTTTCTTGACA